TTCTCTATTTTCCTGCTGGGAAGCATTTGCTAATGGCAATCCTTTATTGGTGAATCTTGAGCGACATTGACTCACCCAATGAATTCCCTTCCTACAGTGGGAGCCAAGTCCGGGTTCTTTTAAACCCGAACTCAGTGGTCCTGGCCCATGATCTGGCGCAGGCCACAGCTTGCTGTTTGCAGCCAGACTGATTGACTTGTGCTGTCTATACTCTCATTGAAGAAGACTTATCTTTCAGCAACTGAAGTATTTTCTTTTAGGTCTGGTATAATTTTCCAAGGCAGGTGCCATGAGGTTGGCCTTGTATTCATCTGTCTCTATATTCCTGCATATTCTAAGAAAATCTAATAGCATGCCTTGTTCCCTGTAGGTACGCAAGGCATTTTTACAGTGTTTATTAGAGAAATCAAAAGATAGCTTATGAGCTAATTGTTTTACTGCCTGAACATTTTTTTATACATTTGGAAATCGATTTTTCTAGTCAGGACACAAAGTCAGCATAAAATTCTCATTCCACTGTCTTATTACTGTGTAGTTGGGCCATCTCTCTCCTGATGGAATGATCTTTTCTCAGGCCCTAGGCAAAACTCACAAACCTGTGCTATTGACTGTTCAGTAAACTGTAGTTGTGACTCAACTGTGATCTAATTCTCATCCCCTAGCAATTGATGATTTCCAATATCTAGCCCATCCTCAGCATTCTTACGAGCTTGTGGATGGGCTATAAAATCCCACCACATATGATATTGTAACAATTCTGAAGGATGAAGACATACTGTTGGAAAGGATCTCCAGTCAGCAGGGATCCAGCATTCAGACTCTGCCAAAATAAGAGTCTGTACCTTAGTCATTGACCCCCTGCCTGAGATCTTTTACTAACTCAAAGGGGAAGTCACTGTGAATTTCTTGTGGATGTTCCCTGGGCTGTCTGTTAATAACTCTAATGGGATAAGACATTCTAAATTCTAAATTCTAAATTCTAATTTCTAAATCTCCTTTCTTTGTAATCCCTCTTTCTACCCTTCAAAGTAAAGGCGCTTTTCTATACTTTGCCTCTTTGCTTCTATTTTCTGAGCTGGTCTTCTTGATTGGTTTATCTTGAAACACCACTTCCCGAACTTCATCTTCTATGTTAACTCTCTTAGTTTGCATTTCTTTGCAGCTAATATCTCTACCTCCAGCACTGGCTTGGTTAATTGTTTTACAATCTCTAGTCTTTTTTTACACTAAATTCTAGCAGGATAGCAGATGCTTCAACTATAATACCCCCTTCTGATTCAGGTTTAGTTTTCTCAGATCTGTCTAAAATTTTCTCTTCTGCCTGATACTTATTCTGCCTACCTCTCACCTGATTTAAGTTTAGGTATCTCAGAGGCTTCTCATTACTCTGCTGGTTTCATTTCTTTGATTTCTCTACCTGCAGAGACTCCAAAAACTGTTTTAATCTCTACCCACAGTGCCCAGGTCTCCATGGATATGCTCTGTACCTCCCTGTGAGCCTTTCTTAAGTTAATGACTACCATGTCCCAGATCTCCATATCAAAGGTTCCTGACTCCAGAAAAGCAGGATTAAGTTTCTTTACCACTTGAAGAAACTCTTTCATTTTATTATTCATTACCACTACATTTTGTTTCTTCAAGAGGTGGCTAAGAGTGATACAGTACTGTGCATCCTTGTTCTTCACCTGATCCATAAATCACTTGGACTAAAAACACACTCA